TAGGACTTTTCCTTCTCTTGTGTTTTTGTCTAGAGAAGTTCCTTTAGCATTTGTTGTAAAGCTGGTTTGGTGGTGCTGAACTCTCTCAGCTTTTGCTTGTCTGTAAAGGTTTTAATTTCTCCATCAAATCTGAATGAGATCCTTGCTGGGTAGAGTAATCTTGGTTGCAGGTTTTTCTCCTTCATCACTTTCAGTATGTCCTGCCACTCCCTTCTGGCTTGTAGAGTTTCTGCTGAGAGATCAGCTGTTAACCTTATGGGGATTCCCTTGTGTGTTATTTGTTGTTTTTCCCTTGCTGCTTTTAATATGCTTTCTTTGTATTTAGTTTTTGACAGTTTGATTAATATGTGTCTTGGCGTATTTCTCCTTGAATTTATCCTGTATGGGACTCTCTGTGCTTCCTGGACTTGATTAACTATTTCCTTTCCCATATTAGGGAAGTTTTCAACTATAATCTCTTCAAATATTTTCTCAGTCCCTTTCTTTTTCTCTTCTTCTTCTGGAACCCCTATAATTCGAATGTTGGTGCGTTTAATGTTGTCCCAGAGGTCTCTGAGACTGTCCTCAGTTCTTTTCATTCTTTTTTCTTTATTCTGCTCTGCAGTAGTTATTTCCACTATTTTATCTTCCAGGTCACTTATCCGTTCTTCTGCCTCAGTTATTCTGCTATTGATCCCATCTAGAGTATTTTTAATTTCATTTATTGTGTTGTTCATTGTTGCTTGTTTCATCTTTAGTTCTTCTAGGTCCTTTTTAAATGTTTCTTGCATTTTGTCTATTCTGTTTCCAAGATTTTGGATCATCTTTACTATCATTATTCTGAATTCTTTTTCAGGTAGACTGCCTATTTCCTCTTCATTTGTTAGGTCTGGTGGGTTTTTATCTTGCTCCTTCATCTGCTGTGTGTTTTTCTGTCTTCTCATTTTGTTTATCTTACTGTGTTTGGGGTCTCCTTTTTGCAGGCTGCAGGTTCGTAGTTCCTGTTGTTTTTGGTGTCTGTCCCCAGTGGCTAAAGATGGTTCAGTGGGTTGTGTAGGCTTCCTGGTGGAGGGGACTACTGCCTGTGTTCTGGTGGATGAGGCTGGATCTTGCCTTTCTGTTGGGCAGGTCCATGTCTGGTGGTGTGTTTTGGGGTGTCTGTCGACTTACTGTGATTTTGGGCAGCCTCTCTGCTAATGGGTGGGGTTGTGTTCCTGTCTTGCTAGTTGTTTGGCATAGGATGTCCAGCACTGTAGCTTGCTGGTCGTTGAGTGAAGCTGGGTGTTTGTGTTGAGATGGAGATCCCTGGGAGATTTTCGCCATTATATATTACACGGAGCTGGGAGGTCTCTTGTGGACCAGTGTCCTGTAGTTGGCTCTCCCACCTCAGAGGTACAGCACTGACTCCTGGCTGCAGCACCAAGAGCCTTTCATCCACATGGCTTAGAATAAAAGGGAGAGAAAGTAGGTAGGTAAGAAGTTAGGAAGGAAGGAAGGAAGGAAGGAAGCGGGATAAGAGAAAATAAAATAAAGATAAAATAGTTATTAAAATAAAAAATAATTATTAAGAAAAAAAATTTTTTTAAGTAAAAAAAAACCCCCAAAACTTATGGATAGAACCCTTGGACAAATGGTGAAAGCAAAGCTATACAGAAAAAAATTTCACACAGAAGCATACACATACACACTCACAAAAAGAGGAAAAGGGGAAAAAGTAATAAATCTTGCTCTCAAAGTCCACCTGATTTTGGGATGATTTGTTGTCTATTCAGGTATTCCACAGATGTAGGGTATATCAGGTTGATTGTGGAGATTTAATCCACTTCTCATGAGGCTGCTGGGAGACATTCCCTTTCTCTTCTTTGTTCACACAGCTCCCGGGGGGCTCAGCTTTGAATTTGGCCCCGCCTCTGCGTGTTGGCCCCGGAGTGCGTCTTTTCTTCGCTCAGACAGGACAGGCTTAAAGGAGCCGCTGATTCGGGGGCTCTGGCTCACTCAAGCCGTGGGGAGGGAGGGGTACGGAGTGCAGGGCGAGCCTGCAGCAGCAGAGGCCAGCAGGACATTACACCAGCCTGAGGCGTGCCGTGCGTTCTCCCGGGGAAGTTGTCCCTGGTTCCCGGGACCCTGGCAGTGGCGGGCTGCACAGGGTCCTTGGAAGGGAGGTATGGACAGTGACCTGTGCTCGCACACAGGCTTCTTGGTGGCGGCAGCAGCAGTCTTAGCGTCTCATGCCCGTCTCTGGGGTCCGCGCTGTTAGCCGGTGCTTGCGCCCATCTCTGGAGCTCCTTTCAGCGGCGCTCTTAATCCCCTCTACTCGCGCACCAGGAAACAAAGAGGGAAGAAAAGTCTCTTGGCTCTTCGGCAGGTCCAGACTTTTCCCCAGACTCCCTCCCGGCTAGCCGTGGTGCACTAGCCCCTTCAGGCTGTGTTCACGCCGCCAGTCCTCTCCCTTCAGTCCTCTCCCTACGCTCCGACTGAAGCCCGAGCCTCAGCTCCCAGCCTCGCCTGCCCTGGCGGGTGAGCAGACAAGCCTCTCAGGCTAGTGAGTGCCGGTCGGCAGCGATCCTCTCTGTGCGGGAATCTCTTCGCTTTGCCCTCCGCAACCCTGTTGCTGTGCTGTCCTCCGCGGCTCCGAAGCTCCCCGCTCCGCCACCCGCAGTCTCCGCCTGCGAAGGGGCTTCCTAGCGTGTGGAAACCTTTCCTCCTTCACAGCTCCCTCCCACTGGTGCAGGTCCTGTCCCTATTCTTTTGTCTCTGTTTATTCTTTTTTCTTTTGCCCTACCCAGGTACGTGGGGAGTTTCTTGCCTTTTGGGAGGTCTGAGGTCTTCTGCCAGCGTTCAGTAGGTGTTCTGTAGGAGTTGTTCCACGTGTAGATGTATTTCTGATGTATCTGTGGGGAGGAAGGTGATCTCCGTGTCTTACTCTTCCGCCATCTTCCCCATCCCTGTGTGGTAATTTATGTTTAATTTTCTAAGAAACTGTCAAACTTTTCCATAGTAGCTATTCCATTTTATAGGCCAATATAATATTGATACAGAAATCAAATGTTATGTTACAGTTTTATGTACAATGATGCAAAACCCCTAAAAAATATATTAAGGAACCAAATATAGCAATGTTTAAAATAGATTATTAATCATATCGAAGTTAGTATCCTTTGGATGTAAGGCTGGTTTAACATTAGAAAAATCAAGTAATGTAATCCACCTTGTTACCAGAATAGAGGGGAAAACCATACTATTATCTCAAATAATGCAGAAAAGCATTTGATAAAATTTCACTGATGGTTTAAAAATTCAGCACACTGGGACTAGTAGGGAGCTACCAGAGTAAGCCTGTAGCAAACCTTATACCTAATTGTGCAACTTTGAAGCTTTTAACATAAGAAAGAAAATTAAGTAGTGAACAACACTTTGCTGGAGGTCCTAGCACAGTAAGCAAGAAAAAGCTATAATATTTAGAAAGGAAGAAACAAGTGTTATTTGCAGGTGATATACTGTCTTTGTAGAAGACTCAAAATAATCTACAGATAAATTATTAGAATTGATAAAGAGAATAGTAGAATTTCTGGACACAAAGTCAGTAAAGAAAAGTAATTTGCAGTTCTTTTCCCAGTAAGAAAATGTACTTTAGAAATCATATAAGTTACAAAAGCTTGAAAAAATAAACTTGACAAAGATGTGTAATATATGTATCTGGAGAAAACTGTGAAACTTTACTGGAAAACATTAAAGAGAACTTAACTCTGAAATTTATGTAAAGATCAAGTGGTAAAGAGCAATCCTGAAGAAGAGAAACAGGATAGGGTGTAAGAGAAGCACTTCTTGAAAGTGTAGTTCATTCCTATTTTAGGATTTAGTTTTCTTGGGTCTGCTAAGTCAGGTACCACTTAACCAAAATGTTGTTGCTATCGTGTCCTGTCTTATTTTCTTGGTCTTTGTTGGTTTGTGTAATTTTTTAAAACAATCCCTGTATTGTTACATTTTACAGCATTTTTCAAGGGAAGAGAAGTAAGTGTGTGTGGTCAACACTGAAACATTTTTAACTGAAAATACTGACATAAGTTTTAAAGCCGTCATTTTGGCTGCTGGGTGGAGAATAGATTTCAGACTGGACAGGAGTAAAGGCAGGAAAACCTGGTAGGAGACAATTGAAATAATCCAGATGAGAGATGTTTGAGGTTTGGACCAGGAGCCCAGGATTTCCACATGCCTTGGGTAGGGCAGCCCCTTTCACAGATATCACATCATCTTTGATTGGAGTAAAATTGTGGTCCTGTGTATTCCTGGCAAGACCTTTACCCTTTCCAGTTTCCAACCACTCACCCCTGTCTCTCTTGAAACCATCAGTAATAATTTTATTCATTATGTCTTCTTTTTCTTGTTTATGCCATAAGAATCCTAGAACTCCCTGATTCTTCCAGGGCTCTTTAGACACTGAGGTAGTTAATTGGTACCTGTATCCCACTCCCTCAACAGTATGTCCACCATCATTGTTCTTTTTTTTTCCTGTAGCTCTTATCACCATTTGTAACATAATATATTTGTTTATCCATCCTCATTAGAATATAAGCTCTATTAAGACAAATTTTTCTCTATTTTTATTGCATATTCCGAGCACGTAGAACAATTCCTGGCACATAATGATTGCTCAGTAAAAATGTGTTCAATAAATGGAGGAAAACAGAAATAGCAATGAGGAATAGTTGCATTGTGGGTTTAGTTTGAAGATCAAGACTACTGAATTTGTTGATGGATTGTGTGTGTGATGAGTAAGAGAGAGAGTAGTTACGGATGGCTACTAGATTTTTGGCATAAACCAAAATGACTAGAGTTTCCATTTCTTGAGAGGGGGAAACTATGAGAGGAGCAAATTTTAGGGTAAAATCAATTATAATATTCTGAGGTAACACATTTAAAAGTCACTGAAAGATGTTCTCAAAAGTTCCTTCTACTTGGTTTTACCGTCCTACAATTCTTGGAGACTACACTCACCATGCTTGTTTGTAATGTTTTCTCAGGTCATGCGCATTGTGGATAATGTTCGTCCTGACCGACAGACAGTTATGTTTTCAGCTACTTTCCCCAGAGCTATGGAGGCCTTGGCTCGCAGAATCCTGAGTAAACCCATTGAAGTGCAGGTTGGAGGCAGAAGTGTGGTTTGCTCAGATGTGGAGCAACAAGTGGTGCGTACAGTCCTTAGGAAACCCCCAGTTCCCTGTATGTTTAGGCATTGTGTCTTCTTTTCGGGATCGTTGTGATGTAGGCAGATAATTTCTAAAATTAAATAGTACATATCAACTGCAGCCTTTAACATTTTACCAAATATATATATATATATATATATTTTTTAAATTTTGTTCATTTATTTCTGCATTGGGTCTTCATTGCTGCGTGCAGGCTTTCTCTAGTTGTGGTGAGTGGGGGCTACTCTTTGTTATGGTGCGTGGGCTTCTCATTGTGGTGGTTTCTCTCATGGAGCATGGGCTCTAGGCGCGCGGGCTTCAGTAGTTGTGGCTCACGTGCTCTAGAGCGCAGGCTCAGTAGTTGTGGTACACGGGCTTAGTTGCTCCACAGCATGTGGGATCTTTCTGGACCAGGGCTCGAACCCGTGTCTGCTGCATTGGCAGGCAGATGCTTAACCACTGTGCCACCAGGAAAGCCCTAGCAAATATAGTTGAATTTGCTCTTCCATGGAACTTTCTGTTTAAATGCTCTTTTAGGTTTTTTCACCAGAAGTGGTAGGCGGGTGATAAAATGTCACATACCTATGTTATTCTTTGGTTAATAGGATGTGAAGTTAAGAGTCAGAGAGAGGGGCTTACCTGGTGTCACAGTGGTTGAGAGTCCACCTGCCGATGCAGGGGACGCGGGCTCATGCCCTGGTCCGGGAAGATCCCACATGCGGCGGAGTGGCTGCGCCCCGTGAGCCATGGCTGCTGAGCCTGCGTGTCTGGAGCCTGTGCTCCGCAACGGGAGAGGCCACAACAGTGAGAGGCCCGCGTACCGCAAAAATAAAAAAATAAAAGAGAGAGAGAACAGATCATCTGTCCACATTTGTAAGCCTCTTAGTCTCTGAAAGTTACAGTTATTTTTTTGGTCTTAGTGGTTTATCAATTAAAATCAACATTTTCTTACCCCTTCCTAAAGTTATAGGAAGATGTTTGTTTATTTGCCACAAATAAAATGAATATTTTTGTTCATGAAATGTATTTGGATTTTTACTCCATTAACTTGGTACAATGTGTTGTTTTCAGATTGTGATTGAAGAAGAAAAGAAATTCTTGAAGCTACTTGAACTTCTAGGCCATTATCAAGAAACAGGATCTGTCATTATATTTGTGGATAAGCAGGAACATGCTGATGGTCTTCTGAAAGATTTAATGAGAGCTTCTTACCCTTGCATGTCTCTTCATGGAGGTAACGTTTAATGAAGTCTCTGTTAAGTACTTAACTTAGCCAAGCACCGTGCTGTGTATTTCCTTTGTCTCTAATTTAGCAGTAAATTTTATGTCATCCATGTCATTTTTCATTCACAACAGTTTTGTGTGGGGGGGTAAGCATTATTTTATTTCATCTTAGCGATAAAGAAAATAAGACAACAACATATTGGTTTGATCAAATTGCATAACCATTAATCAGCTAAGGAGGAATTGAACTTAAATTTTTTTTTTTCAGCCCAAACCCCCAGTATTTATTTACAAGTTATTTATATGTACAACTAATGTAATATTATGCTCTTTATAAACATTAACACACAAACAAGAAATTAAAAAACACAAAAATTAGAAATATTCTAGTATTTTCTTCCCACTCCCGCAACGTATATCACGTATCATAATCACACACTGCCTAAGTTACCTCCCCCCCCAGCCCCTCCCCCTCCACCATCACTTCGGAGCCCCTGCTGTAATCAAAGGGAGCCTTTGGAGTTTCTGAAACAGAGGAGGGGCATGGTCTCTGATGACTTTCCCGAATCCGCAAACTAAAAGCAGACTGAGACATCAAAGAACTGCAATTGCCTTAGAGCGCTTTCCACGTGCCAGGAAATGCCTCAGTGCTTTAGTATAACTCATTTAATCCCCAAAGCAACCCTATGCTGTACGTACCATTATTGTCTTTTAAGATATTTTTATCTTAAGATGGAACCAAGGCATAGTGAGGTTAAGAAACTTTGCCAGGGTGACACAGAAAATGGTGGAGCCAGAACTGGAACCCACCCTGGGTGGGTCCACACTCCAAGAGCTTAACCGCTACTGGAGGGAGATAAGGGGGCTCCCTTGGTCAAGTCCCTCACCAATCACTGCTGCCATGAGAATTCCAGGTACTGTGTGAGGAGGCAGCAGGAAATCACTAATCACCGAGGTACCTCTCACTCGGTTGTCTAGGCAAGGTCGTCTTATCTGCAGTCTCCAGAGGCCAACTCAGCTGGTCACGCAGGCGCAGATCGATAGGCTTGGTTTCTATGAACTTAAAATTTTTGATTTATGTTCTATTCTTTCCATTGTACCATGCTACCTAGAGGTTTTATTATGATTTAGAGCTTTAATTAATTTCTGTGTAATATCACCATTGTTATATATATGTGGGACTTAGAACACTAAACATATGGAACAGAGACAGTTTGAATTAAACTCACTAACCAAGTGTTCTGGCAATATGGCTTTGTGACAAACCACCCCCAAATTTAGTGACAACAGTCTTTTTTTTTCTTTTTTTAATGAATCTGCAATTTGTGTAGTTCTTAGCACATAACTAGTCTCTCTTTCATGCTCTTTCTACTCGGATGGCTCAGTTGGGGTTGGGGATCCATTTCCAACTTGCCTTACTTAGGCAGCTGACAAGTTGGTAGTGGCTCTTGACTGAGAGCTCAGTCAGGCTGTTGGCCAGGAGTCCTGACTCTTTCC